GACTTTGAGGATGAGTGGAGGCGGGATTTCATGCATTTTGGTTAGAAAAAGATATTCAGGATGTCTTTGAAGGGAAATAAATCAAATGGTTTGAGTAAAGCAAAGCACACAGAAAAGGCTCCGTTTAGCTGTTTTTGTTGGATAACTGCTGTTTCACGCCGCAGTACGCGTTACGAAAGTTATCACAAGAGTGCTGAGTTATGGCCAAAAGTCGTGCCCCAGGCAGGAGTCGAACCCGCACCTCACGCTTTCCGGGCGAGTGCGCTATCCGTTACGCCACCAGGGCCTATTTTACCCTCTCAGCTTAACGGCTTATGCCGAACCTTACAGCACTCACACGTTCAACTTGGTGAGCCGGTCAGAGGCTGAGAGGGCAAAATAGGCCCTGGTGGCGTAACGGATAGCGCACTCGCCCGGAAAGCGTGAGGTGCGTCTTGGCATCATGGCGCCAACAAAACAAGGGTCAGCGCCAAAACACCTCACACCATGCCAGTTTGCTGAAAACTTGTGCCCAGTGTCCATCACGAATATCACATGTGCATGGGTACCAAGGGGATGTGATGCTGGAGGAGGAGAGCGCACATACAGCGCGGCTTGCTTTTGCTCGCTGGCACGCTTCCACAAAATAGTAATCCCATCCTCTGTTTAGGCTCAAGCGCCGGAGTTGAGAGAAGCATGTAGTGCCGACGCTTTCAACACTGGCGCCGCGCAGTTTCGTGCCAAGCAAATTTGATATCATTAGTCTTCTTTTTCTTCCTAAGGTTGTCCCGCTTGTGCAGGGTCCATTCTTCGGATCGAAAGTCGCCACTTTGCTCGATCTAGTGCATGTTCTTTAGAGAAGTTGAGCATTCTCAAGTCCGCATTTATGGTGTCCTGCCAGCGTTGTTTTGGTCTTCCACTCGGCCGGTGACCGTCTACTTCAAATCGATATGCAATAGAAGCGACGGTATCACGCTCAGCTCGCAAAACGTGACCATACCATTGGAGTCGTCTCTCTTGCATCTTCTCGTCGATTGGAGCGACACCCATCTGGCATCTAATCATATCAATACTGCAGCATTCGGATCCGTACAATGCCACGGGTCAAACCATTGTATATCTTCGACTTGAGGTGGAAGGCAGCGCCTATCACATTAGCACCCCAGTGACGACTTCTCTCCATCTCATCCATGCCGCGTTGACTCTCATTCAAACCTCATCATCAACACCACTCACCTTTGCAGGCGGGACCCTAGGTACCTGAAAGACATCGTTTTCGGTAAGTCTTCACCTTTGACTTTGTATTCCGTCTTTCTGGTGTTGAGGCGAAGGCCATACTGGCTTAGACGGTCATTCCATGCTTGCACCTGACGCTGCTTTTCCTCTCTGCTGACATCCGCTAGAAGAACATCGTCAGCACAGAGCAATGTCCATGGAGTAGCATGTTGCAATCTCGTGTGAGTGTGTCCATGATGAGGATGAACAGCAACGGCGAGAGCGCCGAACCTTGGTGAACTCCAATATTTATTGAAAAGCTCTTCGATAAACCCGCAGCACATCGTACTGGACTGGTAATGTTCATATACAGCATTCAAATCCAGCTGATAAGCGCTTCAGGCACTCCACGCTCACGTAGCGCATACCAGATTAGTTGGTGGGGCACTCGATCGTAAGCTTTCTCGAGGTCCAAGAAAATCATATGAAGTGGTTTCCGCTTTTCGCGATACTTTTCCATGAGTGAGCGAGCGGCAAAAATTGCATCCGTTGTTCCCCATTCTTTCACAAAGCCGCACTGGTTGTTGCTCAAATCAATCATGTCGCGTAACCGCTGATCAAGGATTCGCTCGACGATCTTTATATTGCGTGAAAGTAAGCGAATGGGGCGGTAATTGGAGCATTCGGCCGGGTCTCCTTTGTTTTTGAAGCAGTAATGCTCGTAGCCCATCCACTAGTCGTATTCTAGGGAATTTCCCCCAACGGCAGGATCTGCCCTGATTCCAACAACCGCAGCATCCGTATCAGTCCACCGGTAAGAGCGCAGATCAACAGCGACCGCGTAGTTCCCTTCCGACGCGCAAAGGAGGGCATTCGGTCTTGTTCCGTGCAGATGAGGCGTGTCAGAATGCTGGGTTTGGCATGACGTCATCCCTGGTTCTCACACGTTGCTCGCACGCTTCTAGCTGCTGTTGGCGCTGCGCCCCTACGCGGCCCAGCATCCGCAGCCAACAGGATCTAATTACTCTGCCGCACGACTTCTCTTGAGGACAATAGCGTCCAATTTCTTTCCTCTACAGGAAGGAAAGTCATCGCTCGAGAAAGTGTCGAAAGCTTAGAAACTGAGCATTGAAATGCGCGCCGAGTTTCGAACGCCATTTCATAAACTATATTTGACACATTTGGCATCATACCTTTTACTGCCCGGCTGTCGAAGTTCAGGTCAGAACTTCGATATGTTCGAAAACTGCTCTTCAGGTGCAGTTCGACCTCATGAACTCGAACATTTCTTCAGCCTAGCCGGTAAGCCCAGCGCCAGCGCCAAAATCCGTCAAATTCTCTAAAAACTTGTCTCCGGGGTAAATACGGTACAGAGTGGTGTTCGAGTTCAGGGGTAAACTTGCCCCCCTGAATTCTAACACTACTCCGTTTCACACAAAACTAGCCGGCATGCGCCAAAAGCGACATCAACGCATGCTTTTTCGACTCCGACGCATCTATCACAGACTGCAGTGAGTTCCTTGCCGAGGGGGTGCTGGGGCAGTCAGCTAGGGAGACACGGCGAGAAAAACCAGTACCCCCCGCGATTGCCTGTGATGGTGATTTTGCAGTTTACTAATTCTCACCCTTAACTGGGGGGATCATTGTCTCGGCGAAAGCGTGCAGACGAGCAGGAACAGGCTGCGCTGTCACGTGTGCGTCTTTACACCGTTCTTAACTTTTTTGGCATCCAATGCAGTTGTGATATTGGTATTAGAGAAGTGGAATTACCTTTGGGTACAAGCTTCAGGCGAACTTGATGATTTAGAGTGTTTTAGCGCCGGCGGTGACGTGTTTTGGGTAGAGCGGATGGTAAATTCGTTTGAAAGAGAAATTACCCTCGGGGACAAATTTTCACCCATCTGCGCTTTTGGAAAGATTCCTCGGAAGAGAAAGAAGAAAAAAGAAAAAGGCAGCAAAAATGTGGACTGATTTCGGCAAATGTTGCCTACAGTACCCCTTTGCTTCTTCAAAATACTTTTTCACACCATTCAAAATTCTTCACATTTCAGTGCATCCATACAAGGTGGCGGTCTAGACACAATAAGCTCAAAATGATATTCAAAAACGCAAATGCGAAGAGATTATGAGAATGCATTAGCTGTTCAAAACGACCGTTAGAACATATTACCTTGGATGATGTTAAAGAAATGAATATTTTCTCAAGGCCCTTACAAAAAGGCAGATAAAAAAATCATAGAACATCCCTGTCATGACCAACATATCACATTTTTGGTGTTTTAACTCTCACCCTATCAATTCCTAGGACTAGAGAAAAAACAATCAGTCTATCCCAGTTATTCTTGCTAGACGTCGCCACCTGTGCATCTCCTGTAGGGGCATTCATTTCAGTGAGGTCCTCCTTGATGACGCTCCTCCATCTTTTCTTTGGAGCTCCTCGCGGTCGCTTGCCCCTCCATGATACTTCGAGGTCTAGTGCTTTCCCTATCGGTGGTTTATGTCTTCATAACAGGTGGTCTCCATACCATTGCAGTCGCTGCTCTCGGTCTTCAGCTTTCTCGAAACCTTCTTTGTTCTCTTTGACCGCCCTGACGCCCTCGTTCCTGATTCTGTGCAGTCGTGTCCAACCACAGGGCCATCTCAGAATCATCCTTTCAGCCGAGTAGAGCTGCTTCTCATGGTTCTTGCACATGGGCCAGCACTCACGGCCGTGGAGCATTGCAGGCCTTATGACGGATCGGTACACGTAGCCCTTGAGCGTTCTCGAGCATCACAGGTCGCAGAGGATCCTGTGAACACCCTTCATTTCATCCAAGCTGCAATGATTCGTACCTTTACCGTATGATCCACGGCACCACCAGCTGGTAGATCGCTCCCCAGGTACACTCCTTATCCGTGAGACAGAGTAGGCGTGGCTTTTGAGCATGGCATAGGACGGGTTACTCGGGGGATGCTCCATTTTCGACAACTGTCGTGTTGCTCTGTTATAGATTGAGACATGATTACAACTGTTCCATAACGAAAACAAAAAAAACCAAACAAAACTGGGGCTGCCGTCACCACAAACTCAAGTACGCAGCCATGCCTACCCCATCTTGGAGATTTCGAGTTACCTGGAAGTCCACGACCTTTTCGAGTTTTCGCCGTGGCGGTCTACGATGGGTTTAGCGCATTGTTCGGAGCTCAAGAACTTCGTGTTTCTAACGTTTAGCCGAACTCCAAACGGTCTCCAACCTTGTTCCTCATAGATTCGCCTAGAACGTTATGTTGTTCAAACTTCGAAATGGAGATCCTGATCATCAAGTCGAGGACCATAACCCAGGAGAACATACAATACATCGTAATTAGTTGAAAATTCACTATCAAAGGCGCAAAAACCGGCGTAGTTCGGCCTGGTGGGGGCACAGAAAGTTTCTCAGCTATGCTTCTACAAAACAGTTTGTGAGGAACTGAAAATCCTTGTAACCAGTGTGGCTTACTGAGACCAGCAGAGAGCTTCACAGGAACCTACAGGTCCCATTTTAGAGGCGTTTCATTCAACATAAATAAACTGACGAAAGTGCAAAATGTCCCCTCCAAGAAGAACAGCGCTCCAAAACTCGTGAAAACAAAACAAAAACTTAGGAAGTATCCACTGAAATGACAGAAATGGTGGGGGAAGACAAGATTTAGTTATGATTGCAAAGCGAATAAATAAATAAGAAGGTGAAATAGAGATGTTCCTGCAGTTTATTCTGTTAATAGCACTTTGTTTTTGTCTATGTGTTCAATGAAAAGCCCCTTATTCAGCTGCTGCCTTCAGGAGAATGAAGTTTGAGCTGCTGTTTACATGCTTGGCGTTTCTGTTGGTATGTCATTTCAGTAATTCACTCAAAGGCTAGGCTCAGTAATGCCGTTGATGTTTCTATGGATTTCTTTCAGATGGACTTATTCGGGAGGATCGAGCCATTTTCATTTCCTGAGCCCCGGCCCTATCCATATCCTCGTAACAAATCTAGACCGGTCGATCCCAATTTCCTGCATTTCGGTTAGAAGAGATATAGAGGATGTGTTCGAAACGAAATAAATCAAACTGCTTGAGTACGGTGTGAAGCACACAGAGTAACAGCTTCGTTTTTCGCAAACGGGGGGGGGGTACTTCGCACTTTTGCTGTCTCAACTCAACGTATCTAGTCATGTGAAGAATTGTGAAAACTTGTGAAGCCAATCAAAGTTCAAGACCACCTGCCAACTACTGTAAAGAACACCTGTTAACACATGTCAAGCAACAAAATACCTTTACATGGTGGCTCGAGGAGCTTGCTTCGGCTTCACAAGGCGACTCTTATGAATACACTTGTAATTTCAACAGGGCGACACTCGTAAAACGAAACTAGTGAAGCAACGAAAGTGCAAAATGTCCCCCCCCCCGCCGCCCACTAGCGCCCAAAAAGCTGCACTGCTATCGATAGAAGAGATTCGACAGTCGGTACGGAAATGCCTCTCGAAGGCATTTCCCGCGACTGCTTAATATAGATAGCAGAATTCAAAAACAGGAACGCATTGTGCTAGTTGACCTAATGGTGAAGAAACATGTATGAAAAACCGTCCCCAATGTGGCCCTCCTCCTCACACTTGGTTATCGGACGAGAGAAGGAAGATCAAGCTCAACAGTGATATGCAGAAGGTGACTATACACTGCAAAGCGCGGAGAGAGACCAGAAAATGACGGGCGAGAGAGCACAGCGGCATCGGTACGACGACACGGGTAAGGTAGGCCGGCATAGGCCTCCTTGGGCTTGTAATCGAAGCTTCCGGTGCTTCGCGTGCCATTTCGCAAGTTCGAGTGCAGTGCAGCCTCTACAGTCGCCTACCGGATCATCTGACACATTGAAGAGGTGATAGCCTTAGTTTATTGCGAAGAGTGCCTTTAAACACAAATACAGTCCTCTTTATTGCAGACCGGTGGGGCGGCTGAGCCGCGCTGCGCGTGACGCGGCTGTGACGCGACTGTCATGACTCGTTTGGAGTATAAGGCGATTGGAGGGTAGCAGGTAGAGCATGGGGAGATAGGAGGGTAGCAAACTGCTGGTGGATTATGGCACAATAGTTGGGTAGCAGACAGCTGATAACCTCCTATTGCCGCATAATCTCTACCAGCAGTCTGCTGCTGGTCGCTGATGGACGCTAGATCGATATCTATACTTTCCCAGTCGTAGACGCTGCCGGACGCGGGTGGACGCTATTGGTCGCGAATGGACGCACCCAAAGCATGAAAACGGCCTGACCGAATCCTTTATTTATTTGGGAGATGATAACCTTGGGCGGAAGGGGCATTTAGACAACTCGTGTTGTATGAATACCGTCCAAGCAAACAGTTCAAACCACAACTTGTGCAAAACTAGGAATACCGTAGTGGAGATAAGACTGTTTGCCTGTGCCTGACGGGAAGCTCCGAAATGAATGAAATGACCTCAACTCCATAAGAGAGATTTTCAGTGCACTGAACCGCTGCAACCGTAACCCAGCTGTTGTGGGACCATTACCCCTTCCAAAGCTTACGGAGCTCAGCGAAAGGCGCAGTACACGTCAAGCGGGTGGGCTATTGAGGTGAAAGTAGATCGCGTGGGCAGTGCTGGAGGGGGCACATTATGGCTGTGAAAACGTCTCAGAGTCGGTTTAGTGAACCATGCGAGCAGAATACGGTAGCAGCGGTTCTTCGGGCTGCAGCAGTTTCTACTTGTGTTAGTTTCAGTTGTTCCGCACAAAAAGTTCTTCAAATGCCCCCCCCCCGTCTAATGTTATTAGCACCAATATTTCATTCCTTCACTGAATGTCAGTCACACTACTTCTAGATAGCTATTTTTACGTGATTCTAATCACTGATTAGTTGCCAAGTGCCTACTGATGATCATTAAAAATTATTTTCTCACAGGCGTCTATGAAGCCTGGACCTTTCTTTCTCTATCTCGGTGTCCTTTTGGGAGCCCCCCCCCTCTCCTCACACTCTGACCCTTTACAACCTTCATCAGACACAAAGTACGTGTAGGTCAATGCTCTCATACGGCTAACAGCGAAGGCTCATAGCCCAATCGAAACCAACAAGGCTCTCATTCTCACTCATGACTTTGAGCTCTATTCGAGCACATGGAGACAGTGAGCGCCTGTGCGATGTACCACGCGACGAAGAAACACTGGGAGCTGGGCGAGAGACCATACGATGAAGAAACATTGCGCGCCTGGGCGAGAGACCCGACGATAAAGGGGGAGAGCACACATCGAATGAGATCTTCCTTCAATTATATCACTGGTCGGACATTTCTGGGCGTTCGTGGGCCTGCATCATAAGCCTTGGGCCGTGAACAGCAAACAGTAGCAGCGGCCAGGGCATGGCCACTTTACTGATTGAAGGAATCTTTCCATGATGAAATGTACGCTCAATAACTAACTGCCTACTTGGGGTGTCCATTTTGCTAACCTAAATTGCTTAATTACTTAATTATGTGTTGCAATTGAATTGCCACAGGCTTATAATTCATCTGGACCATCCTACATACCTGATATCGTCGACTGGCATCCAATCGAGGCTTATGCTGACCCAGATGTTGGAATTCACGAAGAGACCCTGCCGGTGCCGATACATCGTTTCGCTCCACTTCCACTGCCATCATCAGAACCGGTAATTTGATAAAAAACCATCTAACTTTTTTTATCACAGTTTGAGCTTCTTCAGCAAAGATAGAATCCCACAGATGGCCTATTGATTTTCGAGAAATGGACTTTTTTATTCAGCAGCGAATAATGCGAGTTCGTGGTGTAGACATGGCGCCTTCTGGTGATATGCCAAATATACCAACGCCTACTCCGCCAGCCCGTGCCGTCAGTCCAAAGATTCGTCATGGTATGTTCCGACGTAAAGAAAGTCCGGGCAGTCAAGGCAGCGGAGGCAGTAAATGATATCACTTCGTTTTTAGCTAACATATAGGAGAAACAAAGTTATGATCCCTGCAAACGAGACGGCGTGCAAAGGAGCGTGGATGGAAGCGCATTCAGGGCGGAATTTCCCACCAATAGCTGTGGGCTCAGGATTGCATCATGGTGGGGAAAAACCGCACTGGCTGCGCTCTGGTTCACGCCCCTCCCCCTCCTCTCCCCTTTGACATACCACAGGAACATGAGTGTCATTGGATTGTGGTTCTCACGTGAGAG